GGTCCTCTGTCTTGCATCTGAAGAAGTGAGGTTCTTACCCACGAAAGATTATGCTCCCAATACTTCTGTTAGTCTTAAAGGTGCCACAGGACCCTCTGTTACTTTTTACAGATTTAGACTAACACGGCTACCCCTAAGATAAAAGAGGGCTTCCAAATTGGGTAAAATGAGTTCCCTTCAAGAAAGCTCCAGCAGAAAGCATCCCTCCACTGATGCTCAATTGGCAAGGGAGCCATCAGACCCTAGAAGATCATTACAAATGTGAGTATAACTCTATTTGTAATTTGTGCATAGGTCTTTAGAGGATTTCTATGTTCCTGGGTAATCATTGCTTTAATTGTAACTTTAATAAAAGGTGTAAAACAGACTAGACCTTGTACTTGTGAAGGTACGTGTGTCACTATCCTTGGTCTTATGTTTTCCTAGAGACTAACTCTGAAGCAAGTAGCAGAGGTGACTTTCACTCTGTTGAGCTTGAAACTGTAGCCACTAGAGCTGAACACGTAGTGGTGTAATACAACATTACTACATCAAATAAAAGGCTACATTTCCACAAATCTGGTCACGATCCACAGCAGAGGAGATGGAGGGAGGGTAGTGGAATACAGATAGGGACCACACATCTTGAAGATGGTATTGCTGTCTGCAGTACTGCTGTCCCCACAGCTGTATCTGCAGAAGAAGTCAGGACCCATGCGTAATATCTTGTAAAAGTGTGTACGGAGTCTTAGACTGCTGGGTCCTGGATCTTTCTTTAGCTGCTTGTCCCTCAAAGGAGTTGGGTTCTGGATGAATGAATAAAAACTCCATCCCTTTAGCTGACAGAAGAGGCAAGCATTTCTCAAAGATCTGGAAGGCTCCAAAATGGCTTAGTTGTTTTGAAGGACCACCCTAGAAAGGCCAGAGAGCTGGAGGATGTCCAATAGATCATGTGTGTCTCCTGGATCTTAGAGAGGTATCTGGAGCTTGGTTGCTATCCTCTGTAACAGTTCCTGATACTGCCCGTGGTCATCAGGTGTGGAGGATGACAAACCCATTAGAACCGGCAGGACTGGTGGATCCAAGCTCAACTTCTTCTTCTGCAAACTTTGATGGAGCCACAGTTAATATCAACTGGGAGAGGGAGGGCGGGTGTGATTCTTGCACAGATCCCAGGACATCTTCTATATGGATCCTACACAGTCCAGAAGGCAGGATCAGCCGGGAAGGGGAGGGGAGTGGAAATAATTTGGAGCATCAGATTCACTTGATGAAATAATCATCTCCTGCCCTACCGGCGGTGCCTGTGGTACTGGTAGGAGGATGTTCCAAGTTGTAGGAGAGGATCCTCTTCTTCTTGTGGTGGTTTCTTTGGGTGTGGGGGTGTCTCTAAGAGGAGCTGGGACCGACAGAGGAGGAGATTGGGGGAAGAACAAAGCGAAAATATTCTTTGAGGTAAAAGTTTTAGTCTTTCCTGGCATTTGGGGAGCCCCTGAGGAGGAGGGCCAGGAAATCCAGGGTGTCCGATGGTCTAGTATTTGGAGGATTCCACATGGACTACATCAGAACTAATGAAGCATGCAGCTCGCAGAGAGGGCTGATAAATACAGTTTTTTTTGGCTTGTGGGACAGAGTTGAAATCTTTATTAGAGCTTTCTTCCTTCTCTCCTTGCCTTCTTAAACAGCAGGATTATGAGGACCTAACTCCTTAGGACCCACACACGAAAACTCACCCGACTTGGACCAAGATGGGGAGGGATGTTTTTTTACCTGGAGGCAGATCTGGATGGGGAATCTGTCCTTATGCCTATACTCATGATCCCTAATCTCATGAGATTTTTTTTAGGCTTCAGAGTTTTAGCCTGTGCTCCAGAGCTCGTGTTTACAGGGGCACTGTTTGCAATCTGAAGCCACTATACGGGGGGGAGAGGGTGTCTCCCCAGCCTGGATATGAATGGGGTCTCATAGCCTGCTCCATGAGGGGCAGCCACAGACAGAGCTCTTGTTCCTCATGAGTTCGGGAAGGGAAGGAGCAGCAAACGTGACTCTCACCGAGGCAATAAAGGCAGCAGTAGTGTTCATCATGGAGAAAGAACGGGCAAGAGACAGTTCTTGAATCCCAGGACTCTTAGCACAGTCCCTCTCTGCAGAGAATAGCTTCCCAGGGTGGAGAGAACTAATCTAACATAAAAACACTGCTAATACCACGTCTAAACTACTAAAAATACTAACACAAGTTACAAATTATTAGGGCTGTCAATTAATTGCAGTTAACTCACACAATTGACTCAAAAAATCAATTGCAGTTAAAAAAAATTAATCGCCATTAATTGCACTTTTAAACAATAGAATACCAGTTGAAATGTATTAAATATTTTTGGATGTTTTTCTACATTTTTAAATATATTGATTTCAATTACAACACAGAATACAAAGTGTACAGTGCTCACTTTATATTTTTTTATTACAAATATTTGCACTGTAAAAATGATAAACAAAAGAATGGTATGAGGTGAATTGAAAAATACAATTCTGTAGTGCAATCTTTTAATCATGAAAGTGTAACTTACAAATGTAGATTTTTTTTGTTACATAACTGCACTCAAAAAAACCAAAACAATGTAAAACTTTAGAGCCTACAAGTCCACTCAGTCCTACTTCTTGTTCAGCCAATCGTGAAGACAAACAAGTCTGTTTACATTTACAGGACATAATGCTGCCCGCTTCTTATTTACGATGTCACCTGAAAGTGAGAACAGGCATTTCCATGGCACTTTTGTAGCCAGTGTTGTAAGGTATTTATGTGCCAAATATGCTAAACATTTGTATGCCCCTTCCTGTTTCGGCCACCATTCCAGAGGACATGCTTCCATGCTGATGATGCTCATTAAAAAAAAAATGCGTTAATTAAATTTGTGACTGAACTCCTTGGGGGAGAATTATATGTCTCCTGTTCTGTTTTTTACCCGCATTCTGCCATATATTTCATGTTATAGCAGTCTCAGATGACCCAGCACATGTTTTTTCATTTTAAGAACACTTTCACTGCAGATTTGACAAAACGCAAATGTGAGATTTCTAAAGATAGCTAAAGCACTTGACCCAAGGTTTAAGAATCTGAAGTACCTTCCAAAATCTGAGAGGTACGAGGTGTGGAGCTTGCTTTCAGAAGCCTTAAAAGAGCAACACTCCGATGCGGAAACTACAGAACTGAACCACCAAAAAATAAAATCAATCTTCTGCTAATGGCATCTGACTCAGATGATGAAAATGAACATGCGTTGGTCCGCACTGCTTTGAATCATTATCGAGCAGAACCTGTCATCGGCATGGACACGTGTCCTCTGGAATGGTGGTTGAAGCATGAAGGGACATATGAATCTTTAGCGCATCTGGCATGTAAATAGCTTGTGACGCTGGCTACAACAGTGCCATGCAAACACCTATTTTCACATTCAGGTGACATTGTAAACAAGAACCAGGCAGCATTATCTCCTGCAAATGTAAACAAATTTGTTTGTCTGAGCGATTGGCTGAACAAGAAGTAGGACTGAGTGGACCCTCAGGCTATAAAGTTTTACATTGTTTTGGTTTTGAGTGCAGTTTTTTTCCCCCTTTACATAATTCTACATTTGTACATTCAACTTTCACGATAAAGAGATTGCACAACATTATTTGTATTAGGTGAATTGAAAAATATTTCTTTTGTTTTTTACTGTGCAAATATTTGTAATAAAAATAACAATATAAAATGAGCACTGTACACTTTGTGTTCTGTGTGGTAATTGAAATTAATATATTTGAAAATGTAGAAAACATCCATAAATATTTAAATAAATTGTATGATATTATTCTTTAACAGTGCAATTAATTGCGTGATTAATCACAATTAGTTTTTTTAATTGCTTGACAGCCCTACAAATTATATTTACAGGTATTCAAGTAGAGGAAGATTGAAGCAACGCTGGATTCCAACTCAGATCATGTAGCGGTAAGAAGGAACTGGACAGGTATCAGTCCACACTGCCCTTTATACCTTTGGTTCAGAGCACGAAAAGATGAACTGTGCATGGCAGACCAACAGACATAGCTTACTAAAAAAGTTTCCCAATTCAGGTGTCTGATGCACATGCGTACCCATGTGTGGAATACACACAGGGACCATCACTTGAAAAACCACCATGATTTACAACACTATCAAATGCACACAAGAGTCTTGCATAAAATCCATGTTTTGTGCAATGTCAAAAGAGGCAATATAATCCCTCATGTTTATTTTCCCCCTTGCTGTTTATAATAATGAGCGCTTAGAAGATGGCTACTTCTGTTTCCTGACAGTTTTCCCTTCCATTGTGTGGAACATTATAAACATGCCCAATCCCACACGATCATCCTAAAATCCAGTCACTTGTTTAAAATGATTTAGAAGTAGTTGCAGGGGCCCCTAACAGCTGTTAATGTTCTCCTGTTCCCCCCACAAACAGGGGAAATTGACTAAGATCCCAGGTTCTGATCATGGTCTTAACTGACCATACAGGAGAAACGGGACTACCTACAAAAGTTTCAACTTTCAGTTATGGTAATCCTATTACTTGTAATGATAACTAATATAAATATGCAGAGTGACATGTTTTTCTGAGTTGATGGCACTCCTAGAATGGCAATTACTGGATCCAGTAGTAATAAGAACAGAGTAACTGGTTGTTAATGTCATCGGTTTCTTAAAAAGGCCTGAATATATAAATGTTTGCTTAGAGAATTTGGTCTTTCTGGTGCCATTCAGCTGGATGCTCTTACACTTACGACTCAGCCAGCTCTCCATTCATCCTTCACCTTCCCCACCCACAAGTTCTGGGACTGTGTATTTTGAGAAATACAAATGTCTTCTGATTGACTCCATCTCTGCCCACAGCTGTTGCCATTGACAATATCCAAAGTTAACCCCTCACAATCAACTCAAACTGGTTTGAACCATTCACATGTATTAATTCATTTACGCCAAATGATTGTGAATTCGCTACCTTTGCAGGTGAAGCATTTGATGTGAAAGTGCTTGGACTGGACACGGAGCACTTCGCCTTTACACGGCTCCTCACATTTATGGCAGTGGATGACAGGCTTCTCAGTGGAGTGGTGAGGTTCTTGGGAATGGGCCACTGTAAAAATAAAATGTATCACTGTAAGAAAAGGAATACAAGGTTTTCTACCCTTCATAGATCTGTGCTTTCAGCAACCAGTGAGTGGTATATAATCTCTCCATAGATTACATTGTACGCCCAACAAATTAACATGGTAACAGAGATTCTGTGCACCTGTACCCTTTCCATAAAATGGTGTTTTAAGTCATGCACAACATCTGCCTTATTGCACTGAGACAAGCAGGGAAAGAGAAAGAGAAAAAAAAATCCCTTAGTGATTTTGGTCACTCTCCCGGTCACTGATTCCACAAGTACTGCCTACAGTTCCAGAGCACATACCAAGTGTGCATGAAGGCACAAAACAAGCAAGCAGGGCAGAAAAAAACTGGACAAGCATAACCTGAACAGGAAGCCCAACCCAAGCATAATGAACAGAAACAGAAAGCAAATTTGCTAAGTCAAATCAACACAGCTACTTGGATTTATGTACTACTTACTGCATTAGAATCCCATCTGATACGAAGAGTTAGAGTCCTAGGGAGGGATGTGATGCACAGAAAAATTGGAGTATACAGTAGCAGGCAGACAAGAGTGCAAGCACAGAAACATGTGTCTGGAGTTAGAAGAATAAAATGAAGCTATATGGCTTGTTCTTACTCCTGCGGACTTCAACAGAATGTAACTCTTGTGTGTAGAGGAACAAGCCAAACATAGGAAAGGCTATAGAGGATAGAAGAGGGCAAAGTCATCCTCAATTTAAGCTTGCAAAGTAGCCAGAAGAGAACTTGAAGGAGCACCAACAAGCAATACCAACACCTTTCAGCACATTTCCCAAGCAGACTCACAGAATGGCTGGGAAAGAACAGTGATAAGGGGGAAGAGCATTCTGTGTATTGATCACACAGACATTCCACTTTGCCCTAAATTCTTAACTCCCGTAACTACCACAATGAGTAGCTTCTAAACAGGAGCAGAAGGAAAAATCTCGTCAGTATTATATCCACACTTTACTGTGCTAGTAAAACCATGACTGCTCCATGTTTTACTTCTCACCAGACACTCAAGAGCTGTATGGAATCAGGCTAAGGACCCAATAAACTAGGGTTACCATACGTCCGGATTTTCCCGGACATGTCCGGCTTTTGG